AAATGCTATTTCACTCTAAAAGTAAATATGTTACTCATTGAGTATCAGTACAATATAACTCACATATAACACATTTTGCAAGTGCAAAAGCAAGTTCTTTTCCAATAGCTAACCTGAATACCGAGTGTGTAGCAAAGGTTTCTGAACATATTCTTACAAAAGAAAGCTATTAGCTATGCATATTTGTGATTTATATTGTGATATTAGAGATTGCAGTTAACTTACAAAATACATATTTTGAAATTCAGTACCAAGCGGGTAATGCATATGGTGTTGGATGTGTTCACAATAGCCTCGTATATCATGACCATGACAAAGCCTTTTTCTGTATAACATATTTGACCATAAACATAGTGGTATTACTGGGAGTATTACAAATTATCTAGGCTGGCAAACATTATAAACATTCCAAGGATGATTAATTTCTAAAAATAACAAAGTTAAGCAGAGCTTAGAAGTCAAGCGGACTTTTTCACCATCAATAAAATATGACTTCATAAAGAGAATTATGTGGCAAGTTGCTATGTAGTGAAATGTATTTTTGTATTTTCTCAAGGTTCATATTTTATTAGAAGTTAAAAAAAGTGTGTATTATTTTAAATCACTGATACATTAAATAGTATTATAACTATAAAAATCAGATTAATAATAAAATGCAAATTACATAAAAACATATAGCACTAAATATATATGGATATGATCAACAGTTTTGGCCCTAATAGCTGTTTATTATAATTAACTACTTGAAAATATAAAAAACACGTTAGCCTATAAAGTCCACAAATATATAAATACACATGCAATTTTAAAAAATAGGCGTTCAAAAAATATGCATATGGTGGTTGGAGAAGAATTTTTTTAAACCACATTGTGTATGCAAAGGTACCATAAAATATGTTGTTCCCGTTTACCCACAGTAAGTTCCAATTATCTTTTTTTTTCTTTTTTTTACCTCTTCAATTGTGATGCAGTTTATAAGTACAATTTAATTGAAGAGATATGGTTAAAATATCTGAGCACCCAACCACCTTCCCAACTCCCAATCCATTGTGGCTTGGGTACTAGATCTCTTAGCTCATGTATTATACTTGACGTTGGTATTCCTTTACTGCCAATCACAATAAGCTCTAGTGCCCAGGTTATTATTGGATTATTGTTCTCCAATTCCCTCCCTGTCCCTTGCTTGCAACCACATCAATAGAACAAGAAAAAGAAAAAAAGATTCCTTTATCTTCATGCTACACTACATTAGTTAACAGCAAAAAACTGGCCATCTGCTTTAGTGGTTTCTTTTTACTACTGCCAGGACTCACTACATTATAGATAAATGTTTATGGCTGTACAGGAAAGGGGCACAGTCATGGAAAACAGAAAAAAGAGAAATACAGAGGTACACAGAGACATAAAATATGGACAGATAAACACAGTACCAGAGACATTTCCTACCTTAAACATTGTGTATATACACATATACAGTGTGGGTGTACTCATTAATTTTGTTTTCCTATGTTAAACACTGGCCAGACTTTCTAGGGTTATATGAAGATTATTCAACTAATGTAAACATTTTTCAGAATTAATTCATTAGCCCAGTTTCTAATTTTACCCATGTGGAAATCAGGCACAAAATGTACCACTGACAATTATGTATTACCAGTTATATACTACTACCACTGCAAATATATACAACTATATACTATAATACATTATTATATATAGACAATTATATACTAAGCCTTGAGAATCTGTTTAGAAACTAGTATCAAGATTATATTGGAAAAACTTAAAAGAGGTTCAAGTAGAAAAAAATGTATTTCAATTCTCACAGTAAGAATCCAGATAATTTGGCATTCTCCTTATCTAATGCTCAGAGTGCTAGCTTCATTGCAAGGTAGTTAAGAATAGAAAAATAAAATATAAGGGAGATTTACCAATGCCAAGCACTACATTAGAAGCTATACATAGATATTATTCTATTTCTTAAAATAACTCTGAGGGAATAAATGTTCATGCTTGCAGATAAAATGCAGGCTTACAAAAATTTTAAGTTATTGTTATTTCCTTGAGGAAAAAATTAAAATCTTTTGTTTACTACCATATCTTTAGAAGTGAGACCAGTTTTCTGGCACACAATGGGTGATGATGGATATTTTTCAACTAGTTTACCAAGTAACACAGTTACAGAACTAGTAACTGGCAGAGCTGAAATTTCATCACAGGTCTGTAAGACTTCAAAGCTCCATCTGTCTGTGCCCAGAACATACAAGAGGCTGGTCATCTGTATTTCTGCCTCACCTTCTCCCAAATGACCAGAAGAGTTGAGATGGGGTGTTTTGCAGGCAAGAATGGTATTCGTAGTAATTAATTATCTATTAGCAGTTAAGACCAGAGCTCAAGAAGCCAGGTCCTTCATTTTAGATCTCATCTAGGTCTCATAATAGCTTGACTTCAGTCAAGTTCCTTTACCACTCAGTACGTCAATGCTTTTAGTGTAAAAAAAAAAGATAATGATAATAGAGTAAAACCTTGGATTGCAAATAACTTTTTCTGTGAATGTTCCACAAGATGAGCAAGTGTTTCTAATAAATTTTAACTTGATAAAAGAGTGATGTCTTGCAATACGAGTAGTATGTGATGTTCAATGTCACATGATCACATGAGCCAATGGTTCTTGAAATCTGCTTTGATATATGAGTGCTTTGGATTACAAACATGTTTCCAGGATGAATTATGCTTGCAAACCAAGGTTTTACTGTAATAGTAAATAATATTAAACCCATGATAATGTTGTGAGGATTAATTGTACCAATATATCTAAAGTTTATGGCTGTGAAATTAGTAGCCATCATTATTATTTGTTCTGGAGAAAAAAGCAATTCAGGTCATACCCAGATAAGTTAATTCTCTATGGTCGGGAGTAGCAAATGAAGCTGAACATCTCAACAGCAGTAGGCAAGGAGATGCTACCAGGGGATGTTTCAGAAACAAGAGTATGTCCTTCTGTAACTATGATATCATTTTAACTCAGCTGTCTAATGTCTCAATTTACGTGGTATTCCTTTAAGTCAGGATTGGTAGGGACTCTTAAAAAAAGTCTATGTTCGAAGATTAGCATTCCTCTATGAGCAAGCTGGGTTCCAAAAGGCTATTCTTATGAAGCTCGTTATGTACAAGTCAGGAGTGGCATCACAAAAGCAGTGGAGAAGGCCTTCTATAGAAGACAGACAAAACTGACTTGCATTTTTTCTGGTGTGAAGTTTTATAATTCCTGTTCAATGTAATAAGGATAAAGTTTATAAATAGAAAGCTCCTATATTGTGTAGCATAATATGGTTCAAAGTCAAGATAATATAAAGTAGTTCACATACAGTGGAAAGGATTACTTTAGTTTTAGCCCAACATATTTTTTTATACCAGGTCAATTTTCTATTTTCTATTTGCTCTATTACGATTTTTAAATACATTTCAAAGTTACTTAGAGGTTGAGTGTGTGTGTGTGTGTGTCTGTGTGTATGCATGTGTGCGCACACGCATAATACAGATCCGAATCCAAGCCCCGTGATCTATGGCACACTCACGTTTGGGGCCAACTGAAATACATAGTAGCTATCATTTTTTAGAGACCAGAAATTTCACCTCTGAAAAGAGAATCCCTTAAAATGCATGTTTCTGCTATTTTTAATCTACCTTCCCCTACCAAGTAGAACTTTAGACTGACTTTTTAAACATGAATTTTATATATACATATACAGAAAGTGAAAGAGTTTTATTTTTTATTTTTTCTGATTATCAACATCAAATGAAACAGCTCTCATCGTTAGCTAATTTCTGGTTGTTACAATTTATTAGAACAAAAATAAACTAGAGAGGCAGATACTATGATGAAGAAAATTCATAACATATTCAAACACTGAATATTTGTCATTCACTGCTAGATTCTCTACATACGCATTTATTTAATCCTCAAAATAACCTTATGAGTGAGGCATCTTTATAACATCAAAAAACCTAATTAGAATAATCTTTAAATATACAGATAATTAGAAAAGCACTTGTTTGAAGGGACATAATTCTTTTATTATCCTATGTGTACAAAATGCTATATGTACTCAACTATGTGAATGCAAGTTCTCCATCAGTATATGGATTAAAGAAACCTTTTGAAACTTTTGATAAATTTACATCATTTAAATCTACATGGTTGTACACTTAACTCTCCTGTCTTTAATAAAACACCACATTATACTGTAGCGATTAATTTAGAAGTTGTATAGAATTTCTCTCATTTATTAAAATTTATCTCTTATAAAATTTGCAATGATGTATCATTTCTTAACTATCATATTTGTGTTATGAATACCAAAATGTCTAAATGAACAAATTATACAGTTTTTTAGAAGCCGATTAGTTTTTCCAGTTAAATTACCTTTCAGCATATGTTCATATCATTTGGGTATTTTTTTCTTTCTTTGGATTAAAAGGTATATGAAAAACTAATTTTTGGCTAAATGAGAGGTTTCATTTGCATTCTGTGTATTAAAGACTGAACACAGTAGTAAACACTCAGAAACAAATGATTAGTTTGTAGGGGAAAGTAGATTTTTGGGGTGTTTTCTTTCAATTTTACATACTTATTAAATTAAAAAGTATTTTAATTACAAAAATATGAAGGCCAAAAAATTCAGAATAAATTATATAGTTAACAATTCAGCTGATTTTTCACATGTGTGGTAAAAACAAATAGTAAAACATGCAAGAATTCTTTAAAAAAACAAAAAAATGGTTATACATACATTTCAAAAGCTACTTTCAGAAATCAAACTCAAAGCTGTATTTACTGCAGCTCTGTGACATATTATGGCCTTCTTAATTTAACTTACTTCTGTTAATACATCATAGCCAAAAGCTGCTAAATCATGGAGCAAAGATTTACAAGAAAAGACCTGGTGCAAATAGAGACAACATGAAGCTTCACACAAAAATCTGATTAAAAGTCTTACCTTGAATGATTGGTGCTATGAGCATCATGAAGAGGAGTAGCTGTGATGGCCACATGGCTGTGTATTTGGGCGTGGGAGTGCCTCAAAATTGAGTGTTCTCATCGTGAAACAAAATAAGTGTATTTCTGCCTCCTCTTCTGTATTCCAAGACTGATGATTAAAAAATATATATCCCTCAAAAAAAAAAAAAAGTCTCAAAAACAGAAACACCAATATCCCAAATTCGAATCCTGCAAACAAGAAAACAAAATGGGTTATCAAATACATACATATATTCTCATGTTAATTTCTTGAGAGTTCATTTGCTGACTAGAACATTTGTATATCCCCCTCCCTTCATTTTAATTTATTAAGGCATCATATATAAAAATGAGTAAGTATCCTACAGGACATTATTTATGCATGTATCACCACAGAGTTTATTTCCCTGCTCCCAAACTGACTGAGGAAATAATTCAGTCTCACCAGAAAAATTAATATCAATATGTTATGTCAATAAGTCAGCAATTGATTTATATAATTTGTTAATATGTATAGAGTTGGGACTTATATTATCCACAAGTACAATTTTTACTAACATTAAAATAATAAAACAAAAAATTCATTCATTACCATTACTATAAGTTTCATTCATTACCATATACTACAAGTTAACAAGCAAAAGTTAAATGTATGAGTCTTACTTTCATTTCAGGTCCTGATATTCAACTCAGAAATCATTCTAAATATTAACTTTATTAATTTTCAAAACATCTTTGTACGTTAATCTATAAACATCTTAGATTTATGTTAAGTATTTTGCTTAAACATGGCTAATTCATTTAAAGGAGGCTTACTGGTACCCACGGAAATACAAAGCACTGGGCAAGGAGCACAGGATAGGACACTAAATAAAACATGGAGGTGATTCTTTAGGATCTTGCAATTTAAGATGAGGAATCTTGCTTAAAAGTTTTAAATATGTATGGAAGACATTAAAAACTTTAAGCATTAAGAAAGTTATTTTACTGAACCAAACTGATAGAGCTGTCTTCTCTTAAAAACTGAACAGATTTATCTTAAGAAGTAAAAATACCAAAAGAGCATGACCCAAATTTTGAAGATGTCTTTCACAGTCAGCACCTTTAAAAGTGATCAATCAGTACAAACTGGGTCGTTTGCCTTTTACTCTCTCTCTCTCTCTCTCTCTCTCTCTCTCTCTCAGAAAACTCTATTGAAATCTCCATATAATGAAATTTATTTCTATCAGGAAAGGAGTTAATATTTCAAATGCAATATTTAAGACAATTTCATATTTTGAGTATGATTTTTAAAAATTTCCAGAAAGGGTTATATAAAAGAGAGATAGTTTACTGAAGACTGTATTAATAAACCTCATTCTGACAAAATAAATTCCAAAATTTTCTGAAATATTTGCCTTACTTATAAGGCAAAACTACGCAGATTTATGTGAATTCCTGGCATTGTTATTTATAGCATGGCAATTAAGTGTATAGATTTTGGGGCAAGACTGCCCAATTTCAATTACTAGCTCCAGTGCTGTGACCTTGCTTGAGCAAATCGTTTAAACTCTCAATGCCTCACTTCCCTAGGTTAGTGGAGGGAGTAACATTACTTGCTTCATATGCCTATATTAACATTAAATGAGCTAAAATTTGTAATCTTTAATTATATACATAAAAATAGGTACTGTACTGCCCAGAATGGTGTCTCGCACATAAGTGTTACGTATTAACGATTATTATACATCTCATTAGTTTTCAACTTTATCCTATTCATCCTATTAGCATGTATGTATTAAGAAGCAAAAGCATTCAATAATTTCGCTCAAAAATGTTTTGAGTCACTATGGTATAGACAGACACCGAAAACACTATATGTGAATACAATAGATTAAAAAAAAGTTTCACCTCTCAGACACATCATAAGAAAACGAAACTCACAATAGACAGTCTCATAATACTTTTACTTTGACAAATAGGATTGATGAGGAAAAAAGTGGTTTACATAAAAGAGGAAATATGTGAAAAGGAAACATGAAATATTTTCATTCCTTTTCCTATTTGCACTCTGACAAAGAAATCATTCAGAACTTATTCTTAATTGCTATGTGTGTAATGCTTTCAAAACATAACTTTTGAAAAAAAAACTGCTAATTTTAAATGACATTATTTAACACGCATGTAATAATTAATGGACATTCACTCAAAGAAGGATACTAAAAGTGACTGACACATCATCAACAATACTTCTCTACTCTCAACACTGAGTTACTGTGTCTTTTCTTTCCTCTAAGTCCATTGAATATACCAGCATCAAAATTTGACACTAGATGTATGTATGCACAAAGAAACACACAAACACATACATAAATATACACAGAACCACTTTGACACAGGAAATAACTGTGGACAGTCACTAGGTGAATTATTTATTCATTACTTGAAAAATATATACTAAATACTAATCCTGGCAGATACTGAGAATGCAGATGAAGTAGATCAATTTTTCTCACAACTCACACTCATGGGAAAAACAGAACACGGGAAAGGAAGTCACAAGATAAAGAAGAAAAGAATAAAGTATTATACTTAATTAATTAAAATTAATTATTAATTATTTTATTAATTATTTATTTTACTGCCTATCATATATCAAGAAATGATCTGGATATTATACAATTATTTGATTTAATTCTCCATGAAAGTCTATAAAGCAGATAATAACATCTCATGTTTACTGAAGAAGAAAATCAGAAATGAATTCCAAACCAAATGTCAGATCCCAACACCAGTATTCTTTGCTCTTTCTATAGTAGAAATAAACAAGAAAATGTAACCGGATAATTAGGGGTATTAATCATCAAATGAATGGGGCAATACAGCAAGTTTCCAAAAAAGATATAGGCCTTTCTTAAATATGTTATTATTTCTTTAATGTTTACTTATTTTTGAGAGAGAGAGAGAGAGAGAGAGAGAGAGAGAGAGAATGAGTGGGGGAGGGGCAGAGAGAGAGGGAGACACAGAACTTCAACCAGGCTCCAGGCTCTGAGCTATTAGCACAGAGCCTGACATGGGGCTTGAACTCACGAACCTCAAGATCATGACCTGAGCTGAAGTCAGTTAAGTGCTTAACTGACTGTCCCACCAAGGCGTCCCTTAAATATATTATTTGATAGTGAAGAATGAAGAAACTGCAACAACAGGATATATGAGACGTAAAGGGGCAAAGAGAAAAGTGAAGACACGTTTAAAAAGGAAACCAGCCTAATTATAACATGGTATCCTTTGGAGGAAGAGGGAAAATTATTTTCATAGTGAAATATGAGTATTGCTCTTGTGAAATCTGGTGTTAGTGAAAACCAGAACAGTTTATTTCATATGTTATGTCTTTCCACGACGATAAAACAGTGGGAGGATGTTACTTTATAGAAAAGATAAGAAAATGCATATTATTTATAATAATGATGAAACCACATCTATTAGGATATTTTGCATTGTATTTGAGCATAGGAATTTGTTTTCATGATTATTGTGTAAACAGAGGTGAGGAAAGAAATTAAGAAGAATAGAAGCTATTATTTAAAGAAAGTAACATGTCCTCACTTTCCAGGAGCACTACCCACCTATCATTCACTCACAGCCCTAAAATAATGTGCTAATTTGGAGGCATATATAATAAAATTGCAATAACTAAACTATATAAATTTTAATATATAATTTGAAAGACAAGATTGCTCATAACCTATAGAAAGCCAAACTATTACTGTTTACTACTAACAGTGAAAAAAAACAGGAAACTTTCTGGGATATTTTGTTTTCTAATATATGTTATTAATTACCAAAACAATCAGTTTCATAGAAAAGGGATTTCCACTTAAGACATTTCTGAAACAAAGCCCTCAAAAACACATAGAGAAGAAAAACCAAGAAAAGCCATTAAAGACTCATTAAGTCACATATAACAAGAAAATTACTCATAAAAAAAGACTCACTAATGATAGAATGCATTTAACCAGTCAACTTCAAAATACATTTCCAGCTCCAATAAATATCTTTTGCCTTCTCTATGTACCACACACTGTGCTGACACTGTGGGTCAAGTGGCAAGAGTGTGGCTACAGGTCTAAAATGTGGTAGCCCTTTTAAAACCACTGACAGTAAAATATAAATGCTAAAAGGTACATTTACCAATAATTATAGCGCTGTGCAAAATGTGGTATGTGTTACGCGAGATGTTCTAGGAACACAAAGTGAAAAGCTGTCAAATGTTCTTTTGTAAATGCAAAGGATTTAAAATTACACCTGACACAGAGTGATGGTTGCCAGAGGGAGGGGGTGGGGGTGGCAATGAATGGGCAGAAAGGGCAACAAGGAGTGAAAGATACAGGTCTCCAGTTATGGAATGAGTAAGTCATGGAGATAAACGGTACAGTATAGGGAATACCAACAACTGTATTTCCAGAGTGTTGTATGGTGACACATGGTAGCTACCCTTGGGATGGGCTTGTCCCATTTCACATGTGAGTCTACATGTCCTCGCATGTAGACTTGTCCAGCAAATATGCTTTACACCTGAAACTAATGTAACCCTGAGTGTCAACTATACTTCAATTAAAAAAATATGCTGGCCTAATATTCTGGTGCTAAGACAAGCTTGAATTCCTCTCTGAATCTCAGTTTCTACAAGCATAAAAGAGAGACCAATATTCAATTTGCAAGTTGGTTCTGAGGTTTAGAGAGAATGTAAATTGTTGTGTGACAGAGATTATCACTGATCATGCATGTCTGTTAGTGTGTGTCTGTCATTCACCAACCTCTTTTGTTTCCTTTATTCCTTCAAAACTGAGGGCTAAAGCAAACACCTGATCTCCACCCCTCTCACTTCCATGTTTGGTGACTAATAGCACAGGTATCTAGGTATGCATACTCTCCTTGAGAATTCTATAGCTGAACAATGTATACTAAAGCAATGTGAGGTTTCATAAAGGAGAAATTTCAGTGTTTCTCTCACTTAGATTATATTATTTATGAAACTAATTTCCAATAATCAATCAACACACTAATGTTTTAAAAATTATTCTTAAAATCAGCTGCAAGACAGAGGATGCTCGGGATGGAGTGACCTTCGGCATCCCCAGCACACCTGGACAAGTTCAA